ACAGCTGTTAAGTGAATCACTGCAGTTAAGTTAGTAACATGGTTGCCAAGTAAATCTGCCTTCCCCATTGACTTTGCTTGATAGTAGTTCGTATAAATATTGACATAAATGTGTGTCTGAATTTGTTCACGTGACCATGGGGATGCTGCAACTGTCATAAGTGTGAAAAATAGCCATAAGTCACTTTTTTCAGTGCCATTGTAACTTTGAACTGTTGTTAGTTGAGGACTACCTGTAATAAGTAACAAGCAGTAACAAACAAGTCTCATTATCTCAACGTATAAGAATCTATTTCTCTAATAGCATTAATCAGAATATTGCTGATATCTACATAATTACTTTTCTAAGAATCAGATTTAGAAAATGCACACACTTGAGAGCTGAAAACGTATCTGCAAAGAACATGCTCATAATGGGCTGGTGCTATAATTCATAACCCCTCTGAAACTTACCAAAAAATTGTGGTAGAATGAACTTTCCAACTATCCAAGAAATGTTAAGAAAACTAGAGAGTCCTTTATAATATTCTTTATTGGGAATCCATTTTGTTTTTTCATAATTCATATAATTTTGGGAAGGATAATACAGACGCAAAAAAGTCCCCTGGTATAAAATAATAAAATTAATTATTGAAAGCTGTTTCTAAATGTTAAGTTTTTTTTAAAAAAAGCATGAATTAATAAGAACTGTTCTTACCCTTAATCCAAAGTTATTTTAAACATTGCCAGTGACAAACATTTGCTTAAAAGTAGTGTTTCAAATTGAACTAGTTTAAAAAATATCCATGTTGGTCATAACCAAAGTAGAATCTGGATGGTATCATTATCTGCATCTGCTGAGTTATGGCATCAGCAAAGTCAAATGGTGAAACTTTGCACTTCATTGCAGTCTGCAATTCTATATCTACTCTATACACAGAAATTTCTTTTATCACAAAACAACTTGAAATCTCTTTTTATATCCCACTATTATAGTGTGTATATAAAATTGCCTTAAAATTGGCTTGAATAGAATGAACACCTTCCTTATTTCTCACAAAATGAATGAGAGTTTGTGAATGAATCCAAAACATGGATTTGTTATGGAGGTTTTCCATAAAAGCTTTTTAAATAAAAGCCAAGTTGTTTTTACAATTATAAAAAGAAAAGAGAATAGCAACAATAAGCCACCAAGGGGCGTCTCAGCAAGATGGGCGACATAGAAATTTAATAAATAAATAAAGCTAAGTATTCGTGTAACAAGTTAGACTTCTGAATGGGACAATAGTAGGATTGTATCATGAGTGGTTCAAAATACATAATGCATAACTGACGGGAAGAATGGAGAAAGTGATTGGCTCAGGTACCTTGATGACACTCGCTTTGTTTGGAAGTGACATTCTGCCAGTTATCTGACTGCAGTAACTAATAAAACTTCTACCCTGAAAACAATAATGTTAGATGGATAATAGGCTAAACTATTTTATATTTTGGATTGGTCTTATTTTCATGCAAGCTATTTGGCATTCTTACTAATGTAAAATTGGCTGTATTAATAATAGCAGTTATATGTACCTGAATACCATAATCAGTCATGAGGTCTGTACTTCCCACGGAATAAGGGCCTTTCCCTTCAGGAATTTCCATGCCCATTTTCTTTAACTTTTGCACACAAATCTGAAAAACAAGGAAATGGATAAAAGTATGGGAAGTATACTAAGTTAAACAATGCAACAACAAAGTTAAATATTACAATGGGTTTGTCCAGATGAGAAACACACTGAAAATTCAACAGAGAAAAATGAGACTTAAAGTTAAACTTAGATTAATTATTAATTAATGCCAACTACTTTATACATTTCTTATCTCTTCCTATTATGATTACTGATATTACTGATATAATATTATTACTGATGCAGAAAACCTTTGTAAGGAACTATTATAATATGCATATAATTATTACTTCCTTCCCTTCCTTTGTGACTGTAGAAATTAGCTGGGGAAAGATGTTTAACAACATCCATTTATGAATTAACTGCTACTGAAAGAACTCAAAAGGGGACTGTCCAGTACAAATAACATTGTAGATTATGGTTTTTCATAAATGTTTCCCATAAAACAGACACAAACACACACACAAACACACACACACAAAATAAATGTACATTGTTTACACAGTGGTATTTCAAAAGCTAGTAGAAGCCCGAGATGTAGAATTAAATGAAGGGAGCACAATTCTATCACAGATTAATTCATAAAGTTGTGTGAAACACATAGTTATAGTTTAGCAATAATGACCAAATCTGGCTACATTTGTTTTTCAAAAGGTTCCATTATTGTTGTATTAATTTTTCAGCCATATTTTCACATACTTTGAGGTATTATTGATTTTAGGTATTTCAAGGATTGTTTAGAAAATGGGAAGTTTTAGCAAGCTGGATATGTTAGAAACCTGAAATCTATATGTATCTGTATAATAGAATAGAATAGAATAGAATAGAATAGAATAGAATAGAATAGAA